CAGGATATAGAAAAGTAAACTTTGATAGAGGACTCGGGCACAGTGAGTGACTGCACGGAGTTCTGAAGCAGTAGCACCTTCATTGTTGGCGAAGGATTCATGTAGAACGATTGTTCGCTCCAGTGGCGTAACAATCGCCAAAGCGACCCAGGCGGCCGCTATGGGGCCCGGGCACAGGGGGGCCCGGCCAGGGCATCTCTCTGATGCTGATTGGGCCGCCATGGCATATCAGGCTGCTGGCTGTCATTGGCGGCTGTGAAAAGGAATGCGCCGCTGTTAGATCACTGACCACCTGTCAGCGATGTGTGCAGCGACGCGTTCCTCTTCACAGCCGCTGCTGAGCTGTGTCAGTGACAGCCAGCAGCTGCTGCAGAAGAGGCTGGACCCGGCGTTTGCAGTGAAGGAGGAGCGGGGCCTGGCCTGGCGACCTAAGAGCAGGAGGGGCCAGTGATGTAAGAGGAGACAGGGCCCGATGATGGAAAAGGAGGCGGGGCCCGTCGACCACGGAGGCGGATAGCGCTGACAGGTAAGAGGTGTGCAGCCCACCTGAGACCATGCAGAGCCTACCATAGAGTCTATGGTGGGCTCTGCAGGGTCACTCTCAGGTGGGATCTTAGGTGGGCTCTGCAAGGGGCATAACTAGAAATCACAGGGCTCCATACCAAATTTTGCAATGGGGCCCTGTGATTTCTAGTTACGCCCTTGGTTAGCTCCATTGGTAACTTGTTCATTTGCACACATCCCTGTCTCCTTTCACATCCCTCGGGTTCCCACATGTGTGGCCGCCTAGGCGTCCCATACCGAAACAACATTCTGGCAGGGCGCCGGGTCCTGCGATAAGATTGCACGTTTCCTTTTTGGCGAGGGCGGCCACGCAGGAAAGCTGAGGACGAAATGCCAAACTTGGGAAGGACGGGGTATCGGCGGAGCCTCTGTGCTGCTGCTTTTTATAAGTTTTATTTATTGAAGGATTGCGCCTCTCCCGGAGTCAGTCGGGTTCCTCGTCTCCAAAGATCGTTAAAATGGAGTTTTGTTGAAATTTGCGCAAGTGAGATTTCTGTTTTCATTTCTGTCCCTCTGTGTCCTGTTCTGCGTCCCAGGCGAAGGAGCCTGCGCTGTGTGGGAGGCCCGGATTTTATGAGATTCGTCCTACGAAGATGGCTGCAGCCCTGCCACAGAGCGCTACATTCTCCAGACGGCTCATAAATTCTTCTGCGGGGTGGGTTTTATTTCATATTTAGATTTTTATCACTTGTGGAATCTTTCGAGTGTTTTCCTTCAATTCATGAATTGCTTCCTGAAATTGTATTTACTGGCCAAATAATTGTTCAGCGTAATAGAGAGCTGTAAATTGGTGGATGTCAAACCGACCGCCAAAAACTTCTGTTTATTTGAGAAGTCATTTTTATTGTTTTTCATCTAAATTTTAACCGATTTTTATATTTTGGCTTCCTGGAGGAAGCTGGGAGGGGCAAATTATTAGATTTTGGGCAGAGTTCCCTCTACCTTTGTCCTGCTGATACAACAAAATGAGGGGGAAATCCGCTCTTAGACAGTTGTCACCAGAACAGATTTCCACTTTGGAAGATTTCCCTTCTATTCCTGTCCTTGTCACAATGCCACTTTGTAGCCCTTTCTGATTCTTTGTAGCCCTTTCTGATTCTTTGTAGCCCTTTCTAACGGCAGGTGTACACAGGGCCGCATTTCCCACAAGGCCAACCAGGGCCCGGCCTCGGGTCAGCAGGGAGTAGAGGGGCAGCAGGGGTGCAGAATTCCTATCTTCCAGCTCCCGTGCCAGGCGGGTAGTTGTTTTTTACATTTAGCCCGGCTTTAGGCAAGCAGAGCTGACAAACCTGAACCCAATTTTATCTTCTGCCCCATGTGCTCCAAGATGCAGGCTCTGATAGTTTAGAGTTAGGACCGCACTATATAGAGGTGCCTTGGCGCCGCTGTTGCGGCTTTCACATTTTCTGCAGAAGAAGTGTATGTAAACCTCTGCTTTTAACCTTAGAGGTTAGACAGGTTTTTTTACATGCTGGCTTGTGAGTGTGCCAGGAAAACTTTTTGCTATTTTACTGCACCAAATCAGTCACGCATGGGGGGGGGTCTCAGCTGCGGCTTTCACATTTTCTGCAGAAGAAGTGTATGTAAACCTCTGCTTTTAACCTTAGAGGTTAGACAGGTTGTTTTGCATGCTGGCTGGTGAGTGTGCTGAGAAACTTTTTGCTGTTTTGACGCGTTGACAGCTCCGTGTGCTCCTTACAAATGACAGCCGCCTCCTAACTTTTTTGAATTTTTCTCTAGTCTTGGAGCTGGAACAGTATTGGTACTTGTACTTGTACAGAGTACGGTACTTGGTATCGCTGCATCCCTAATATCCATCTAGAAGTTTGTAAACGGAACATGCCTATAGTTTGTACTTCCTCAATGCACTGACACCATTTCACTTCCCGATGTCACCACCCTCACAGAGCCGGCCTTCTGAAACTACAACTCAACGTCTGAACAATGTAACATTATCATTGGTTGCTGGAAGCAATGCATGATGGGATATGCAGTCTTGAGAAATGGAGATTGCGTCACATGAAGCAGCTGGGAAAGAGACGCAAAGCACACTGGGAATCCAGGAAGTTGTTGGAAGTGATGGGCAGACGGAAGGCAGCGCTCATTACGTTTTTACCGGGGCTGTCACTGTTAGCTGCGGTGCATTTCCGGTCCGTTTCCAGACCGGAGAAAATGTGACCTGCAGTATTTTTTGTGTCCGGAACGGACTGCGCTGGTGAGAACTGTAACCCATAAAACAGATGGGGAGACATTGGGGTGCATTTTAGGGTACAAGAGCACACGGTTCTGGTCCGGACATGGTGTGAACAAGCCCTCAGACATATTGGACTCCACCAGTAGTAGTGGTCACCCATCTTTTCTTGAATTGTCTTCCTTTTGGACGCCCTCTCCTAGTAAGGTAGTCCCTTGTTTTGTGTGGGAGCAGCCCTACTAAGAAACTTTAATTCTCTAAAGGGGAGGATCACTGACCTCATGAATATCTTAGCGCCTCTTTCAGAATGTGGCAATGAAAAGTAAAAAAAGGCTTTAGCTGCACTATAAAGTTCTTCTTATTCTGATTCCATATTCATGTCATTCAATAAATCGGATCAGAACCCTTCACTGAGCCTCCCAGGAATGTGCTAAAACCCTTTCTTCATTTGGTAATCTTCGTGTGGCCAGCTTGGGATGTTGCCTCAGTTTTTATCTATTTGGGCATTGGTTCATAGAAGTTGCTTATCTATAGCAAAGGCTCTGACACAATTTTTTTTCTTCCATGTTAGGGGGGGGAAGTGATAAATGTAGCCAAAACGCTGGACGGTGAAAGGAAGAGTTAAAAAAAATGTTGGGGAATGTTGCCAAAAAAGACAGCTGTCAGCGTTTGGGATGGAGGGAACTTTTTGTCTGGGTTGTTTGAGGTCTTATGCAAGTTTCAGTAACCTGCAACTTGTGCATCATCGACCTAATATCTATCAGTTCAGGAAACTTGTTTTATGGTGCCTGTGACAGTCATACATGTGGCAGAAACTAATTGGAATCTGACAGTTCTACTCCTTAGTACTTTATATAATGAGCTGGACCGATGGATGGCTAGAGGGTGCTATGGACGGACCGATGGATGGCCATGGACGAATAGGTGGATGGCTAGAGAGCCCTATGGGACCAATGGCTGGCAGGCTAGAGAGCCCTATGGGACCAACGGGTGGATGGCTGGCTGGCTTGAGAGCTCTATGGGACCAATGGATGAATGGCTGGCTAGAGAGCCCTATGGGACCAATGGGTGGATGGCTGGCTAGAGAGCCCTATGGGACCATGGGTGGATGGCTGGCTAGAGAGCCCTGTGGAACCAATGGTTGGATGGCTGGCTGGAGAGCCCTGTGGGACCGGTAGGTGGTTGGGTGGCTAGAGAGCCCTATGTTGGGGTGCCTGGCTGGCTAGAGAGCCTTATGGATGAACAGATGTGTGGCTAGAGAGCCCTTGAGATGGACAGACTGATGGAGATGGATGGAAGGATGTCTAGCAAACCCTATAAATTGATGGTTGAGTGGCTGGAAAGCCAAATGGGTCGAACCAGAGGTTACCAGCTCTTCAGTGGTTGAAAATTCTAAAGATTAATATCTGGACTGGGTCTGAAGATCAGAGAGAAGTAAAAAAGCTGAAATGTTTTGCAAATGCGGTCTGTATACCTCTTAGGAAGATTCTCCTCCTTTAGTTATAATTTTCAGTGGGACTGGAAGTGAGGGAAAATTGCACATTTGTAACAGTCACTTGAAGTTAAAGCAAAGCTTCTATTGGGGGATACCTCTGTACTCTGTTCCTTCTTACAACTGTTCTACTAAAAATAGACAGCTGAGTGGCTCAGAGGAGACCCCTTCCTCCCTTCTCCCCTTCCATCTTGCCCTCTCCCAGCAAAGAACTGACTTAAAAGGATGTCATCTATAGGTGCTGCTATAAAACGGCTATAAAACATGCAGCATCCTTGGAAAACTCAGTAGACGCACCCGGTGGTCATTATCTGTTAGGAATTTTGACAAATTTAGATAGAAAATCATTCAGACTTTCCCTTTTTGTCATGCATTTGGTTTTCCATTAATAGTAACATGGTTTCCTTTCATCGTTGGCTTGCCACGATTGGATTTGTACATCCCCGGGGGGAAAACGATGTTTTCATGTGCTGCGGCCTTCCATCTGTTTGTTATGAATGGACTCGGCTCGGTGTATGAAAAGCTTGCTGTGGTTCTTTCATGCCAGTGAACACAATAAAAGCGCATTGTAGCATCTGTGCACTCCGCTTCCCGCGTGACTCAGCCATTCAGGTGAATGAATGCAATGGGAAGCGCTCGGCTACCTCCTATCTGACCACATCGTGGGTTTAGGAAATGGTGAAAGTGGAGGCATGTCCCCAAAACCGCATGTCATGTGACCATATTGTTAATGTTTTCTTTTTTTTTTTATAGAATAACTGATTGTGAAGGATTGGCTCTTATTTCCGGAAACGCTGGGGTCCAGGTATGTCATGTTCAGTGTCTGCTTAACAAGGTCTTTCTTATTGGAGTTGTTGTTGTATTCTCAATGATGTTCCTGACAATGGCGATAAGCAATGCTCTGTGATGTCCCTGGTGCAGCCCATCGGGGACACCACATAAAGCAGTATCCATGGTGAAGGAATAGGTTGCAATCTGGTGTCCTCCGGCAACAGGGACATGCTGCACTTTGTGTTGTCTCTGATGGGCTGTGCTCCCTGCAATGTACCTGGAGAAGTGATATGCTGCACTCTGGTGTCCCTCAATGATGGGGGTAGGTTGTGCTATTACTTGTGGAAGGATAGGCTGGTCACTCAGTCATGCCACCAGCGAACGGGAAAGGCTGGATGCTGTGGCCCCTTTTGTGTGCTCCCTGTGAAGGGAGCGAGCTGTGTGCTGATGAGCCTCCAGCAAAAAGGGAAAGACTGGGCGCTCTGGTCGTGCTCCCAGTAAAGGGGACTGGCTGTGCGCTCTGGTCGTGCTCCCAGTGAAGGGGACTGGCTGTGCGCTCTGGTCGTGCTCCCAGTAAAGGGGACTGGCTGTGCGCTCTTGTCGTGCCCTCAGGGAAGGGGACTGGCTGTGCGCTCTTGTCGTGCCCTCAGTGAAGGGGACTGGCTGTGCGCTCTGTTGTCGTGCCCCCAGTAAAGGGGACTGGCTGTGCGCTCTGGTCGTCGTGCCCCCAGTGAAGGGGACTGGCTGTGCGCTCTGGTCGTGCCCCCCAGTGAAGGGGACTGGCTGTGCGCTCTGGTCGTGCCCCCCAGTGAAGGGGACTGGCTGTGCGCTCTGGTCGTGCCCCCCAGTGAAGGGGACTGGCTGTGCGCTCTGGTCGTGCCCCCCAGTGAAGGGGACTGGCTGTGCGCTCTGGTCGTGCCCCCCAGTGAAGGGGACTGGCTGTGCGCTCTGGTCGTGCCCCCCAGTGAAGGGGACTGGCTGTGCGCTCTGGTCGTGCCCCCCAGTGAAGGGGACTGGCTGTGCGCTCTGGTCGTGCCCCCCAGTGAAGGGGACTGGCTGTGCGCTCTGTTGTCGTGCCCCACTGCAAGGGTTAACATTTCATAATCATGGAGTTTAAGTGCTTTTAGAGTCACTGACTCAGAACGAGTATATCAATCAGGAGTTCTGGCTTCACTTGCCACATGCTTGTTCCAGGTCAGCCACACTAAATTCTGATGCCGGCCTCTTCACAAGGTCGATGGCAGCTCCATATTTCTCTCGGATTTCACTGAAATGATTTATTAACTCAGTGTATTTTATTTGCAATGGGAGAGAGTGCAGGTAGAGGGACTCTAAATTCCGGATACATCTAATATAAGCTGTGCAAAGTGATACAATGTATAGAGCACGTTGCTGGGAGTGGATGATGGTCGGCTACGTCATTGTGATTGAGTTGGCTGTGAGCCGTCCTGTCTGCACTGGGGATGATGTGGGACGGAGCAGATGCTGCTGCAGGTTTGGAATGCAGAACGGAGTCTGTCCTGGCAGAGGGCACATGATGATGATGCCAGGCTTGTGCCAGACTCACCTTGGCATCGCCCTTGCTGATGGCTCTGTTCTTTTATTGCAGGAACGGTGAACATGTCGGAGAAGATATCGAGTTTCCTCCATGTGGGGGACATCGTGTCCCTGTATGCAGAGGGGTCCGTGAATGGATTCATCAGCACTCTGGGGTGAGACTCGTCCTCGCATGTCGTCCTTATTAAACCTGAGCTCTGAGAAGCCTTCTAGATACTCAGATGATGTGTACATGTATTTCTTTCTATCCATCCACTCAAAAGATTTACACAGCCCTGCCAGATAGTTCAGCCAGCTTGGGTATGCCCCTTATCTGCTATGCTACACTTATGGAACAATCTGGTCACCACCCTGTCCCCTTTTATTTAAAGCCTCCCCTTCAGTCTTCTATCTGACCTCCGTCCTCCCCTTCGGTCTTCTATCTGACCTCCGTCCTCCCCTTCGGTCTTCTATCTGACCTCCGTCCTCCCCTTCGGTCTTCTATCTGACCTCTGTCCTCCCCTTCAGTCTTGCATAGTTGTACCGGCTCTTCTCCTGGACTTAAATACCTTCTGATATCACTGCATACAGGGAGCTTCTCACAATGTGCATTAGAAGCTGCAGCAAGTCAGATAGAGCCTTCCTCATTTCCTGGCTGGAGGATGTCCAGCATCATCCTAGGGCTTTCCTCCCCAGCTTGACTGTCCCTGGCCCCGCCCCTTTCATTCAGTGGATTTCAGTCCTTGCAATCATGGAGGCTCAGTATCACAAGTGGGGGTTACCTAGGACGGTCAACACCCACTCCTCCAGACTGACAAATCAAGGTGGTTTGATATTTGCATAACTCCTCCCAAGAGCAAGCCCACTGCTTGGAGTGAGGGCTCTTAAGAGGAGTACAGAGGCAGGGGGCTGTGATGTTTTCAGGAAACTAAATGTAATTATGTTGATGGGTGAGGGGGGGCGACCAGGGAAGGCAAAATATAAGCACTCATCAGTTATGAGATTAGGGGGTATTCTGTAGTTTTAACAAACTTCTGGTCTTTGGGTGACAAGGCCGCTCCTGCATAGAGTACAATTGAACGTTGTCACCCTAGGACAGGAAGTGTGTTGCTGTAATATATTACATTCTTGTACTTCAGCTTAGATGCACTTTACCTGTGATGCATTTTTTTTTCTTCCAATGTAAATCTTTTTTTTAATTTTTTTTTTCTCCCCTATTTTTCAGTTTGGTGGATGACAGATGTGTGGTGCAACCCGAAGCGGGGGACCTGAACAACCCACCCAAAAAGTTTCGAGGTGAGTCTAGCAAACCACTCTTCAGGGAGCACTCGCTGCTAAAAAGAAATGCACTTCACTGGTACAGCTGTCTCAGAGGACCATCTTATCAGTTTAGGTTACTTAGACTTTTTGTCATTATATATATATATAATTATACAGGTTGTGAGTCTTTTGTTTGTTTTTGATACATTGTATTAATATTCTGTTTACATTAAAGGATAACTATGGGGTTAAGTCTTTTCCCCATAGTTCTCAGGGTAACGGGAGGACACAAACTAGCGTCCTCCCGTCACCCTAGGCTCAGTATATAGGGAGCTGTAGCTCCCTATATACTGAGACGTCGCAGCTGAAGCAGATCCCGACAATTGTGCCGGGATCCGCCCAGCTGCGTGACTGACAGCTGGCTCTGCCTATCTAGAGGCAGAGCCAGTAGTACCCTCCCCTGTCCGTTCTGCCAGTCAGCGCTGGAGGATCGGAGCGGGGAGGGGGGGAATCCAGCCCCTCCCCTGTCACGGCAGAGAGCCGTGAAAGGATCGAAAGGTGAGCGAACGCCGGTATGTGTTCGCTCACCTCCCGATCTACTGAGCCGACCTGTGACAGTCTCATTGTCGCAGGTCGGCTAGAACTATGAGGTGAGTTCTCTAAGTTCTTTGAAAAGACAACAATGTAAGAAAAAAATAATAATCTTTGGTTGTTAAATGTTGTTTTTAATACATTGTAATGATTTCCGTCGCTGTACTTCTGTGTCTGCACAGAGAGAGAGACGCGCGGTGAAAAATGCAGGTCGGAAGTTTGTTTGGAAAGAATATTCTCCAGCCTGCATGTGATTGCCATCACAGACTGTCCTGGTGATCACATGACCTGGAACCATTCTGGTTGGCTTCCAATTTCTAGTCTGAGACCTGCAGTGACTAGGAGCATGTGCAGGTGTGCGCATTGCTTGTTCACAGGTGGACCGTAAAATGACAGGGAACTGTACCTGGGGGACGTTGGTCTTCATGCTGCTTTGGTCAAGGAGTAGTTGTCGTTGTCATTCTTCCTTGTAGATGAAGGCTCCACGCGCCTTTTTGTCTTGTTATTGCATTACTCAGCCTTTGCTTTCAAAGTTTCTTCTCTACCTACAGGCCTGGCATGCAAAAGTGGGCAACCTGATACTCCCGCCGTTGTGGAACTACATAAGACGTTGCAAGACTGTGACAGGCAGAGGCATGGTGGGATTTGTGGTCTTCCACTGCTGGAGGACCAAGGCTGCCTACCCATGCTCTATAGTATTCCCCTTCACACCCCCCACCCAGCAGCTACTTATGTAGTGAGAGGAGGGGCAGAGGAGCTAGGCATACACAGGCTGTAATTAGACACTCCCAGAAGAGGGGAGGGGTTATCGCATACAAGGAGATAGGGGGCTCTTCAGGCTTCAGAAGAAGCTCAAACACAGACTTCAGAAGAAGCTCTGAAGTTCTGATAAAGTGCACAAGGGAATCTTCAACCCGAAGGACCCATTCCGTCATGGGTCCATTTGGCACGGCCAGCCATGATGGAATAATTCCGCCATTGGTCCTTAAGGGGATAAAGGAACCCGGTGATTGCTCCTCCTATAACCAGGACGTCCGGCACTTGGAAACTGAGCAATGATGGGCTTTTGGCAGCAGTCTAATTCAGGCATAAGTCAGGATGTAGACAAATGATTGTAGGCTCAAATGTGTTCACACTCAAATTAGAAGTTCTTTGCCACCATGAAGGCGCCCGTCCTCTGGAGGATTAATCTGGTGCTGGCAGTGTTGGTTCTGGGGCGGGCTTGTCACTGTCGGCATGCTGCTGCCTGGAAGTGCCGGGGTCTTCTCACCCAGACGAGAGGCTGCTGCAAGCACAGACACATGAATGAACTTCATGTGAGCACCACTACAGCAACCTCGGGATACAAGACATTCAAGTGGCGGAATTGTGTAGTCTTGTCTCTTCCAGCTAAGCTTCACCACCACCGCAACCACGCTGTGTCTTGCATGATGTTACATTCTGCAGCTTCATTTCACATTGGAGAAAAGGATGTCAACTGTCACCTCTGAGGAGAGGCGGGCGGCTCTGGTGTAAAGCGGGCTCTTTAGATGTGACAGTCTGTTAAAGTGAATCTGTCAGGTCAGCCGTCGTCTCGGTAATTGCCATCGTAGAAACGAGGGGCTCGCTGTGCGGAAAGATTCTAACGGGCAGTGGCTGCGAGCTTCATGTTTACTAAAGCTTAAAGTCCACCGCCATGGAGATGAGGTTTTCCCTTGCAGTGGAGTTGCCCCATGCACTGCAAGGATTAACTCCTCATGCACGCATAGCAGGCAGAAAAATGCTGTTTTACTTACCTGATCCCCCCGCTCCCTCCAGGCCGCTAGTCCGCTCTTCTCCCCATCGCTCTGGTGTTCTGGTAACTGCTCAAGCACAATGCCGCACCGAATACTGATACAGGAAGTCCCATTAAGGAAGCCAGGCGGCATGTAGAGACTCGCCACCCGGGGAGTTATCAGGGAAGCCGTCTCCATGCTTCTCATCACTAGGCGACGAGAAAGCATGGAGCCGGCTTTCTGGCCAATCAGGAAGTCGGGCGCCATGTAATAACGCAACGCCTGGCTTCCTGATTGGGCAGGAAGCTGGCTCCATGCTCCCTCAGGTAACGCGGCGCCCGGCCAATCGGAAAGCCGGGCGTTGCGTCATTACATTGCGCCTGGCTTCCTGATTGGCCAGCTTCCCGACCAATCAGGAAGCTGGGCAGTGAGTACTTACATGCTGCCCGGTTTGCTGATTGGCCGGGAAGTCTGCTCCATGCTCCATCACAAGTGACGAGGGAGCATGGAGCCAGTTTCCCGGCCGATTAGGAAGCCGGGCAGCGTCTAATGACTCGCTGCCGAGCTTCCTGATACCGAAAGTATCGGGCTAGGTATCGGAGCATTTGGGTGAGTACGAGTACTTGCCCAAATACTCGGCACCTGCACCGATACTAGTATTGTTGCATCCCTAGTTAAGATACTTAAATGTATTTTTAAGGTTTAACTCCTGAGTTTTTGTGTCACTTTAATGGGTATGTAAGCCCCAACTTTTTTTATTTAGTAGGGATTAGTTAAAACACCTCTCTGGTTATTTTTCATGGTCTCTGTATCATTGGGGTCATTTCTCTTTACTTCCTGTCCCAAAGACTCAACAGGAAGTTTAAGAGAACATCTCCCAAAGCAAGTTAAATTCCCCATGGACAGAACAGATGCGCCTATTGGAAGATATCCCGTCACCTCTTGGTCTGAGAACAACTCTAAAATGTTGACTTTTCTCTTGCTTTCTTCTTGGCGATGATGTTCATCGGGGACAAATAGAGAGGGGTCAATCTCCCCAATAGTGTTACAGATACCAATAAAAGCTGGAATCGGTCCAACCTTTCCTCTATCTAATAAAAACAAACGGAAAAGGGGGTTAAAGGACAACTATGGGGTTAGGGCTTTTCCCCATAGTTCTCCTTATGGTAACGAGAGGACACAAACTAGCGTCCTCCCGTCACCCTAAGCTCAGTATACCGTGAGCTACAGCTCCCTATATACTGAGACGCCGCAGCGGATCCCGACAATTATGTCTGGATCTGCCCAGCTGCGTGAGTGGCAGCTGGCTCTGCTTATCTAGAGTCAGAGCCAGCTGTACCCGCCCCCTCCCCCGTCCGTTCCGCCAGTCAGCGCTGGAGGATCGGAGCGGGGAGGGGGGAATCCTGCCCCTCCCCTGTCACAGCAGAGAGCTGTGACAGGATCGAGAAGTGAGCGAACGCCGGTATGTGTTTCGTTCACCTCCCGATCTACTGAGCCGACCTGTGACAGTCTCATTGTCACAGGTTGGCTCGAACTATGAGGTGAGTGAAAAGCACTCCCCTCATATTTCCTCTTTAAGTCTAGAGATAAGGATGTATTTTTTGTTTTATTGAAATAATAAAACTTGGGTCCGGTGACAGGGTCTCTTTAGTCAGAGCACTGACCATCTCGGCGATTTTATGTTGAACTACGGCATGTCCTAGTCTTCATTTCTTGGGCACAGGTGCCCTTTAAATCTTCCTCTTCGTTTCTCTCGTGTGATACAATGTTACCCCTTCGAGTGTCTTTCCCGATTTTTCTTTTTTTTTCTTTTTGTTCTGCTCGCTCTCTCCATCTCCCCTGCAGGCCCTCACCTCTCCTCCGCCCTCCTTTTCTCCCTCTCCTGGGCTCCCGCCAGTGTCTCTTGCTTCGGGGTTCCCTGGAGCCGTTTCCTAGTAATGTAAGCATAATGCTCTCTGTTCTGGAACGGCCTGTCTGGTATATTCCTTACTGTAACTCTTCCCTCCGTACGTGTTCCCCCCTTTTTTTTTTTTTTTTTTCTCTCTCTCTTCCAAATGTCAGGTAGCTGGAATGATGCTTACACAAAGCGAGGGTCTGCAGGAAGATGGAGGGTGCTGTACTGGCACAGACTGCTGAGACACGATGACCCCGGCTGGTTTACATACCAGGGCGTTCAACTGTATACACAAGCCGAGCTTGTGTGAGTGGAGTCCTCTTCTTGCACGGAAGTGTCTTTTCACCTACTCGGAAAGCGCACTTCTGCACATCTCCGGTCTGCTCGCCGTAGCTGTTGTAGCACAAGGACGTTTAAAAGTCAAACGCCGGCCAAAGCTAGTCAGTTGAGTCCCCCGACTGCTTTTTACATACCGTGTTTCCCAGAAAGTAAGACCTACCCCAAAAATAAGACCTAGTTCGGCGGTAGGTCTTATATTACGGAAATCCCTGAAGATAGCGTAGGGTCTTATTTTCGGGGTAGCTGCACATATAATTGACATTTACATCTCAAGACCGACCGCATCTCCCC